AATCAATTACATGTGCGCATTTCCTACAGGCAGTTAGAGTTTTAAACGCAACACCAGTGTGATCAAATCGCCAACAGTTACGATAAAGCAGATTTTATTACTCGTGTACATTGTTGAATAGTGCCCGCGTAGCCTGCAACAAACATTTTCCGTATTTTACTATTTTCACTTGATAAATCTAGTCGAATCATAGCAGTAGAGGGTTTCGGAACATACTCTTCAATCAATCAAGTAGATATGACGGTATTGTTTGATCACACTGGTGTTGCGTTTAAAACTCTAACTGCCTGTAGGAAATGCGCACATGTAATTGATTTCGGTTTGTCGAACTTCACTAGATACATCAACTGTAGTTTGTGCGCATGAAGCCAGTAATGGGGAACTGGCAGAAAGCAATAGAAAACAGTATAGTAATGAATAGTAATCTTCATCAAAATAATACTTTATCCTCATTGAAACTGTTGGTCAATAGCAGAGATAGAAAAGATCAACGTTGTCAAGATATTATGAACTATTTTACAACTAAACAAATTTGACGTTCTAATAGCAACAGAACCATAATAATATTGTTACATCAACAGGTAGTAATGATTTATTCCATAGTAAGAGAGTGATCAGTTTCAAGATACTAGATTGGTATGTTTATCGAGCAAAACGGTTACATAATCAGAGCATACTAAATTTGACATTATCAACGTATAAGTGAAACACAAAGCGCCACTCTTCTTCTGGTGTGTATTATAATCGTCTAAACAACTTCGAGTAAACACTTTTTTGATTAATACTTATCAAAATTCTAAATTATATCTCTAAACTTCTATTGTGTGGAGACTTTAATCAACGTCATACAAATTCTCCAGACAAACAACAGAGCTGGAGACAAATTAAAACTTTTATTAACTATAATTAGTGGGACAGCATTAATTCTTATGATCAGTTGACGCTTAGCATACGAAAAATCAAACAAGTGTTATAAGTCTAGCACTATTTTAACTCAATGATATGCTACACTTTAATTTGTACGCAGTTCTCAGCATCTTCCGTGAATTGGATCAAAGACCTTTACTAATCACACACCTAATCGTTTTTCAACAAAAATTCATTCCCTTCGCTGTTCGTTCTCCTTCATGATGCAACAGGTCTATTGTGAACAAAGGAAAAGTTGTATTTTATCTGTTTTGCGTTCTACATATATGTATTTAATCTTTTCTTTTTATTTTGAATCAACTATCGTGTGTCACGTTTGACTGCTGATGTCTTTTCAATAAAGACGAAACGTCTCTAACAGAAAATACTCTATTTTCATGATTATAAAGGTGGTTTATCTCCTATTTTCTGTATCTAAATTCTTCACCTTAAAAAATGACTAAATATATCTAAAACTATATTCGAATCTAAAGTTGCTAAAACTCAGGCATTTTTGTAACACATTATCGAAACAGAGGAAAAAGAGAAAAAATGGCAATAAAAGAGGAGGAAGAGGATGGGTTCTGAAAAAAAGACGAAAAAGAGGATCATTCATAACCCAGTCACCTGCTGTTCATTTAGTGTTGTTTGTACAGCTCATATTATAATTGAACGTAAGGTAGCGTTAATGCAAACTCTCCCTAAGTTGAGTTTTGTGTTGAGACACACATCATCAGATGCAGAAGAAGTAGCACATTTTTGTGGAGGTCAGTAACACTTTTCCGAACTTCAGACTATGGACGCATACCGAAAACTCGGAAAAGGATTATTCAAGAATCGAGCTTCAACTGCTTTGCTATTTTAAGACCGTTTTGAGCTCTCCACGACGTTTCGTTACGAGCAATAGTACAGTCCATATATATGCTCATTTTGACTCCTCATTGAACGAAAACTTCGAAACTGAGTTTTCGAAACACACATCACCAGATGCAGAAGAAGTAGGTGATCACGAATTTCACCCTATTCTTTAGTTTAGCCCAAGTCTTCAGGCAGGAAAATGCACAATACTGAGAAGTGCTCTTAAACCTCAAAAATTTGACTTTTCCAAAAACTGCGTTTTTCTCCGCACTATTTCACTTTTAAGATGATTTTCGGAATTCTTGTGGAAAACTGCATCTAGGCACGTGATCTGTGACGGCATACCGAATACTCTAAAGACCGATACCCAAAATATCCACTATTTTCGAATTGGACTTTTATGGATTTTTTCATCTGAAATGGCATAGTTCAGCATCCTGGTCTTGTGGGGCAGAGTCTGGCTCCTGTTCGCGAAAGATCGATTGGCGCAACTTTCGGGATCCGATTCGCATAAGAGTCGCGTTGCCATTCGCGGAACAGTCGAGGTGCTATTTTCGGAAGAGTCGCATCAGGAAGCAAACTGGAAGACTTGTCTAAGATAAAATAAAACTCGTTCTTCATCTTATTCTCTAACCCTATATAAAAAAAAACTCTTTCAGCTCGGGCTATCCTTTTTGAGTAAACATCTCAATCTTTGTTTGCTTTGTTTGCTTTCCAAGGCCAAAGTTTTCCTTTATTTTCTATCTTCAAATGCTCAAAATACACAGCTAAGTGATGTTTTTCTTTTACTGGCTAACGCGTCCAGTAGAGCTGCTGAGTCAACTGTCCAATCCTTTCTAGGACCATCGAATTCTGCAGCGGGAAGTGCGACAGAAGTGTCGTGTAAGTCGAATGAAAGTGGTGAAGATCCAACCTTATTGTCTTTATGTTTTGTTAAAGCGCTCCAACAAACCGGCAGTTCCAGTGGATTAAGTGCGACGATTTCAGCATCTACAGTACCAGGTATGTATGTGCAACACAATATGTTTCTACCCCAAATGTGTATTTGTCGAAACCTGTCATCCGAAAATTATATATTTCGACTGATTGTTCACCATGCTGGATTCGGTTCTGCATCGAATACACAAAGATATACGAGCTTAGTTTAAACACGGAAAATGAGAAACTTGATTTTATTCTCACTCGTTGAATCTGTATGTACTGAATGTAGAGCAAAATGAGTAACGGCTAGCATCATTTCGCATGAGTTAGAGAAAACATTGTACCGATGCCAACTGAGTGGACAAAATTAAAACTAGTGTTCGGCAGGAAACAAGGAAAAGAACCATTTGAGGAGCGTTCCAACAGAAAGTGTTTAAGGGTTTCTTTCTTCCACATTCTCAGTATGTGTACGTACATCAGATTTTTCGTGAAAACGTCGTTATTTAAAATCGTGAAAAACGCCATTGATTAAAAGTCGTATCATACTTCCAAAGCACCCAATACGTACAACAAGTATTGCTTTTGCGATACGAGTGGTCTATGCTTTGCTTAAGCATTTGGTTGATGCCCGATCGTAGCGTCCGAACCCATTGTACACACCACATAGAAATGAATTGAGAAAGAATCCGACCTCAGACTTATGTGTTGCACATATTTTCGTTCCCGTTAGTTATGCTCGCACGTGAAACTTGAGTTTTGACATAGCGAGATCGAATCGGATCTGATGAACGAAAGACCGCTCAAACTTATCCGCTGAATACTCAGATACTATTCGAATAACTATTTTATAGTCTAAAATCAATCTCGCATTTTGAGAATAATGTAGACTATCTCTTGATCGAGGAGCTTCTAAAACTGTTTTGCTAGTGGTAAGGCGAATGGAGGTGTTGAAGATCCAACCTTAATGTCTGTTTGTTTTGTTAAAGCTCTCCAACAAACCACCAATTCCAATGGATTAAGCGGGGCGATTTCAGCATCTACAGTGCCAGGTATTTATCTACCACAAAATGCATGTTTCTACGCAGATGTGTAGTTATTGAAACGCTTTAGTCGAAAATGATGTATCCCGACAGGTTTCTTTGCATTCTGGTGATAGTCTATCGGCAAGTCAAAGCGCTGCTAGAACCGTTTTTCAACTAGGAAGACGAAGACATGCACTCACTACTAGAGCTACGTTTATGAAGTCGTCCAGTTCTACTGGCTTTCACGTCTCTAGGACATAGGCAGGTATGTGTGAATCCAGTTTCGCGAACGAATTCTGTCAAGAGCTCGGGTTTCTGTTGGGGCAGAGTCGGGCTTCTGTTCGCGATAGATCGGTTGGCGGTAGTTTCGGGATCCGATTTGCATAAGAGTCGGGTTGCGATTGGCGGAACAGTCGAGGTGCTATTTTCGGAAGGGTCGTATCAGGAAGCAAACTGGAAGACTTGTCTAAGATAAAATATAGCTCGTTCTTCTAGCCCTATACAAAATAGGCCCTCTGTGTTTTGCACAAATTTTGTAAAAGAACCATCGATAGTTTAAAATTATGCATAGTTCACATGCATTAAACGTGCATAAAGCTTTTCTGTCCATAGAAAAACCATCGTATGCATAGCCTATGACTATCCGCTGCCAAAAGTCCGCGCTCCCCATACTATGCACGATGCAATCTAAACCGTAATGGCTATTCTATTATGCTAAACTATGCGCATGGGACTGATGGATCTTTTATTTGAGTCATCCTCTCCCTCTCTCTCTTTCAGCTCAGGCTATCCTTTTTGTGTGCGATATCCGTACCGATCACCGGTATAAAAGCTTTGTACCGGTACCGGACCGCCACCGATTCCGGCCAGTATGTCGATCGGCGGTCTACCGGTTGGTCTTAATCATGTTTTACCTCAATACAAATACTTTTTTCTGGTTTTTCTTCACAGTCAGCTGTATTTTTTTGTTATCAGAGAGATAGGTTGATCTTTTCTATTTGCTAATGCATAGCTGACTTTTCACCCCTTTTTAATTTACGAAAACAGCAATCCAATCCATTCTTTTAAATTAAGAAGCTTATATAAGTCGACCAAGTGTAAATAACTGGAATGAAATTTTAATGGAAGAAGTATCTCACAGATGAACTGGATTGATGAACGATGTTTTTTGAAAAAAATTGTTCCATACCGCAAAATATCAGCACTGTTGTTTTCCTTCTGTACAGTTGGTAGGATAAACACCTATAAACTGTCCTCATTCGAACAGATAAGGCAGAATAGACCGAAGTTGGCTGATTTGAAGTAATGCTAGAGTATTCATATATTAGTGTTACAAATGAAGAAGATGTCTAGATCTGCTGTAAAACAGGGTTATGATAAACGTTCTTTTATCGGCTAACGCGTCCAATAGAGCCGCCGAGTCAACTGTCCAATTCTTTCTAGATTCATCGAATTCTGCAGCTGGAAGTGCGACAGAAGTGTCGTGTAAGTCGAATGGAAGTGGTGAAGATCCAACCTTAATGTCTTTTTGTTTTGTTAAAGCGCTTCAACAAACTAGCAGTTCCAATGGATTAAGTTCAACGATTTCAGCATCTACAGTATCAGGTATGTATGTGCCACAAAATACTAGAAAGACTGGAAGTTATTTATAACTTTTTACCTTATTTTCTGACCCGTCAGTCAGATGAGGTATAACATTAATTACATGCGATACTAAAGTTTCCGATCGAAATGACTTGCATATCTCTCGGCGCAATGGATGAAAAAAGTGAGGGTCGCAATACATTATTTATCTTTTAAATGGAAAAAAGGTGGGAATGCGAATTTTCTCTCCTGTTCTGGAAATCAAGATACGCTTTTCGTCATAATTTTTTAAACTTTCTTTAGCGGAATTTTCATCGGAATTTTATCTGGTATATACAGTAATTAATGACAAAAGAAAACGGGAAATGCGTGGAAAACGTGG